AATAAAACCACTTGTTAAAATTATATCTTATTGTATCTAGATAAATTTTGAATAACACAATGCTTGAGTTTACCTGATAAACTGTACTCATTTAAACTCAGCTGTATATAAAGTGAGAGTAATTTTACGTGGCTAATATTAATTAAATATTATTCACAATGCGTGTAAAATATTTAATAATAATCCAATGGTTAGCATTGGTTCACTACAGTCGGGCCCAGGAGTGCACAGGTGTTGGTGTCGACCAGCGCATAGACTGCGCGCCCGAACGGACAGTCACTGAGGCTGAGTGTACGGCACGGAAGTGCTGTTTTGCTCCCAAAACACCCACCGGTGGGAACAGTAAGTATACATTTTCAATCTTGTTAAATTAAACAACAACAGGTTAGACAATAATCTAAAATGTTATTTATTAAAATTAATTAATAAAAATATATTAGTATTGAAATATTGTGTTAAAAATAATCAGTTTAATTGTTAATCTATAATAACCTTGATTTATTTAAAAATACAGATAAATACATACCAACATGTTTTATACCGCAAACCTATCCGGGCTATAAAATCACCAAGGTCGAAGAAAGCCCAGGAGGTTTTACGTACGTAGAGCTCTCTCGCGAGACCCCATCGGGATTTCCCAACGATATAAAGTCGGTGTCGTTTCGTATAACACATCTGACACACAATGTGTTGCGCATACGAGTGGCTGATCTCAATCATACCCGGTTTGAGCCCCCACTGCCTCAACTCAATCTACCCAAACCCGTACCCATGCGTCACATGTATTCGGTGGACCCGGTTGGAAAGGGTAAGTGATCCTAACATGGTTATAAGGGTTTATGATGTTCACTCAAAAATAGTTATATTTTTAATAAATAAATATATGATTTTAAACTAGCTCTTTCAAAATTTTGTACACTTTTATAAATGGTTATTAGATTAAACCTTATATTAATTTAGATTATGCATATTATTTTTGCAATTCTAATTCAGTAAATCCACAAACATCTATGTAGAGAAAATAATTAATTAGTTCAACATACAAATTTTAATTTTCAAACTTTAACTACTTTTACAGGTATTATCACGGTTAGACGCATATCGACAAATGCACCCATATTTCAGACCGACTTAACAAAACTGGTGTTTGCTGACCAATTCATCCAGCTCAAATCACTGCTCAGTTCGCACCAGGTGTACGGCATTGGTGAGAACAAGGCCAAATTCTT